GAGGAATATCGCACACGAAGCTATTCTTGATCTTTGCACATACACCAGGCTCACCTATCAACGGTTTTTCTGGGCTCCTAACCAGCTTCCAGCAGCGTCCTGCGATCCACTGTGCTTCTGCGCCAGACAGAAAATCCAGGGAACCGCACAGGACCGTGCCCTGGTGCGTTCACTGTTGGCAAACACTTAACTTCGAAGGAAAACGACTTTTTCTGGAGAAGTAGCTGTCAATAAAATAACCCCAAACGCAGCGCCTGTGTCAGTAGCTTTTAACCTCAGTGTCGGCACGTTACCCAGAGCTCTTGGGGGTAAAATAAAGAGAAACCGTCGCTGCTGGCATCCACGCTCCCTTCCCGACACCAAACCCCCCGCGCTCTTTCCAGGGAATTCGCCAGCCACACACACGCAGCTTCAACCCAACTGCTGAAGGAAGAACAAAGGCTTTTTTAAAATTTAAGACATTCATTTGAAGTCATTAGTATGTTCCTAATGAATGCAATTAACACATTTATAGGACAGATCAGTTCAGGGTATTCTGCGACGCGGAGCAGCCAAGGCGAGGATAACCCGCACGGGACGGGGCATGAAGCTCTGCCCACGCTGAGTGGACAACAAGTGAGTTGGGAACAAGTTCAGAAGAACAGGATGTGAAAGAAACTCTCCCTGCTCGAGGCCACACCTGTAAGAGGTGCGAAACCCCCTCATTGCATACAGACCATGCTGTGCCCGACCCAGCGATGAGCGGCTCCGAATCCCACCACCCGTCCTCAAGAAACAATTTCAAACAGCGCCTCTGGACAGCTCCTTGAATCAGCTTCAATGAGTTGAGCTCAACCACTCTATTTGATTATTTTTTAATATTAATATAAGACAATAAGCAAGTGTTAAGGGCTTTGTGGTGCTGGCTTAAGAATCTCAGAAGCAGTCCCAGTACCAAACTACCGGGATAAGCGGGATGGTTTCTGTTTCCTCTGTTACTGGGCAAGATATGGGCATGGACACAGAGGGACAGGATTGAAAATGCCTGGAAATAAACAGAGAGACAACATGTGTTACTGAACAGCAGAGGGTATTGACAGCAAGGAAATTCCCTCCTGCTGCGTGGATTAACTAACTTCACCATGGCCAGGGTTTGGAGCAGGAAAACGCAAATAGCCTTGGGATCCCGGGATGAGAGGAACCTAGTGCAAGCGGTGTTCCCTTGCTGTCCTGGGAAACAGCTGGATGTGCAATATCCAGGAAGGGAATCTCGGTCAGAAACACTGTCCTGTTGGATATGGTAAAGCCAGAGCAAATGCAGCACAAGCATAAATTTTGCAGCTTTGCAAAACCCCTTCAGAAAGTATTCCTTTTTTTACAGTTCCCGTGAAAGATTCTGCTAGTTTCAAACAGGCTCGTGTAACACCACTTGGTTTTTCCTTAAATCATACCTTCCAAGGGGGGCAGTGACACTCGCCACTATGAATACTCCCTTTAACCAGCAGACAGTGTCAGCTGAGACAAAAAGCAGCACATTTCTGGAAATAATAGCTCCAATTTGGTAAATCATAGCTTTCTGCTTCGATGCTTGTATAACTCAGCACAAAAAAACCCCACAAAAACCCACCCAAACCCACCCCATCCTGCACAGCTCATCCTGACTCAACACCCACCGACGTCCCAGCGCCAAGTGTCTTATCAACTGCAAACCCTGGCCCTGGCAGGCACAGGACAGGACTGGTTTTCATGGGATATCCCTCCAAAAATCCCTGGAACCTGCAAGTAGCCCAGTGCCCAAACCCCAGGCAAGGCAATGGGCAAAATAATCAAATCCTGAGAGTTTACAGTCAGTGCTGGTCTACAAACCACCAGCTGTCAGCCTTCACATGCAGGCAGATCGCTGTTGGGGAGATCTTTATACCCAAGACACCGTAACATTCCTAGAAATACGAGTGTGTATAACTATGGGCTAGGGGGTTTTGTTGGGGGTTTTTTTAATTTCTTTTTAAAACGGAAGATAAAAGAGAGTCCTTACAGGGAAGAAGTCAGCGATGTGCTCTGCCATGAAAGCAGCTCTTCTGGGTTTCAAGAAGTCCTGAACTGTTTCAGGCAGTCAGCTTCATCATTTTGGGTCAGGAGAACATCCAAAGCTTCTAAAAACTGGATTAGTAGAGCAAAGCAAGACACTCGAAAGAAATGGAAAGGAGTCTCTGAGGATGAGATGGGCCCAGGCAACAGGAGAGGATGAGCAAGAGCACGATGTCTGTTTTCTCACAGCGGGAACAACACACACACTCAAAGCATTTTTCGTACAATTTCTTGGAAGTGTTTTAGGGAATTCCGAAGAAGTGACTCTACCAGTGAGAAGTACACAAGAGCATTCAAGAGTTCCCAGACTTTCCCAAGAGCTCGTCCATCTGCTCGGGCAGCGAGCAGGAGTCACACTGCGCATCAGAGCAAGGATCAGCCAAGCTGGACGCTGAGTGGCACAACTGCAGCTTGCTCGAAATTCCAAACAAGCCGAACCTCGAGACATTTCGGCTTCAAGGAAAAGGAATGCAGAACGTATCGCCACCATCCAGACCGGGGGCAGAGACAAAGAGCTGGTAGCAGTGGGACTTCCCCGACACACAAGCAGCCTTGAGGGACCGCAGGCAGGGAGCTGCGCCGTCGGCTGCTGCCAGAGCAGCATTTTAACTTTCAACTCTGGTTTCTGAGATATTTTTTCAATCCAGGTGATCACCTGAGATTCTTCAAGGCGGACACAGCACAGCTTGGGGTTTTTTTGCCACCTGCAGTCCCAGGGTAGCCATCAGCATTGACCCCAGGAAGAAAAAAAAAATCCCCCCTTGAGCAAAAGTGACTGCTTCTCAATGAAACCATGAAAGCGCAGTTAGAGAAACCTCAACCGTGCTCAAGGCTGCATCAGAGAGCAATCGAGGAGGTCAAACTGTCACTGAAAGAAAGCCCAAGTCACTTCCTCCGTGCCGGATGTGACAAGGCTGAGGCCCTCGGCATGCAGCAAGGAGTGAGTCAATGGCAAAAAGCAAACACCAACCGTATCTCCACAAGACTCCCTCCTCGCCTCTGAATTCCAGAGACATATGACTAAGTTCCCTTTCAAAGAAAGAATTTTCCTAATCAACCGCTTCTGTGCCGGAGCGCCACGCTGAATCAACTCGACCATCTAGAAATGAGGCACACGAACGTCCCTCGGCTCCGTGTCTCCTCCTGACCCTCACACATCTCAATGAGATTGGGGAAAGCAAGGAGGAGCCTTCCAAATGCAACTGGAAAGATGCATGAGGATGGTTTAGTTTTAAGAACACTCCTAAGCCACATTTTCAATACCTTACTGAATTTCAGACATTATAAACAACTCACAAAGGCAGCAGCTTTCCAGCAGAAGAGACCATTGGTCTGTCCATCTTTCCCCCAGCCTTCCCCACGCCGCTGCTCCTCCTTCTGCTTGCTACCCGCTTACATCTACTCACTGTCAACTCCATCCATCCATCCATCCCCTAACCTCCCTCCAGCAACGTTTCTCCCCTCCCTTGCACCCTCCCACCGTGCCAAGGTCTGCCCCTCTCCTGCTGCAAACTGTTGCTCCCTAAAGTCAGATCTGGAACGTACGAGAAGTCCCACTTCCTAAGATGTCCTGCACAGGCTGGATTTCCGATTGCATTCAAAACCTCAGTTAGTAAAAGAGAAATCATCACTTCAGTGCAGGCGGGGTACCAAGTGGAACAATTTCAGGAGGTGAAGTCACGCAAAATATTCAGGTTCTCACAAAAACCGAGTTTACACCTCCACACCTTGCAATGCGTTCCTCCCCACGAGATTTTCTCCAAAAAAAAAAAAAGTGCTTGGGTATTAGTTGCAAAACATGACTGCCTTTGTGTATTGATGATGCTATCTATACAGACCACGCTCCAAATAAAACATATTAAAAAAATTACAAGCTGCATTCACTGTCACGGTGAGCAGCTGCAGCTCCCGATTCAGTTCTTCACGTGCAGGGTACGAAATTCCCCATTGCTGAAACTAAAGAGATCACCAGAAAACTTGGCACGCTACCAGGACGCTGTGCTAACGCCGATCTGTAATTATTGTTTTGATCAAACACGAGCAGGAGCCCTGTCGTGGAGGAGGTCCAGCCACCAGTGACCAACACAGCTGTGCCCAAGGAGGACCCAAGGCCCACAGGTCACTGAATTTTGGGCAGAACTTTCAATCAGCAATCCTCCCAATATCGAGGCGAACAGCAGGCTTCGAGCCGACGGACCCAAGCGGCGCCAGGGCTCATGTGCCACGGGGCCGGGCCGTGCCCATGCGGGTGACAGCCCCACGGCTTCGCCCCCAGCAGAGCCAGCTGCCAGGAGGAACAGAACGATCTGCCCCGCGTCCACGGGGCGAGGACGAGGAGCCCCGGACTGAAATTACAGCACAGGAGATTGAGGCTGGGCATTAGACAAAGCCTTCTAGCAGGAAGGCTAATTAAGCGTAGGAATAGATTGCCTGGGGAGGGGCAGGAACTGCTGCTCCTGAGGGTTTTACGAGTGGTGGGAAACATCCGCCGCGCTGACCCCACGCGGGCAGGGGGTGGATTTCGGCGGCTGTTCAAAGCCCCGGCTGTTTTCTAACAGCTCCCCAAACCCCGCTCTGATCTCCTGCTTTATCCTGCTCTGGTTCAGGAGCTGACAATGGCACTGAAATCAATTTGGTTCAGGATACAGCACTCAGGGAAAGCTGAGATTTAGAGCAACCCATGGGCAGCGGATTGCAGCCCAAGCCTCACACCGCTCTGCCGGGGTGCTGCCACTCGTTTCCACCCCAAACCGGGGTTGCCATTTGGCTAGTGGGTTCCACGTGCAGGCACGCAGCTAGCCAAGAAGCCGACCGCTGCTCGCCAAGCTTGCTCACAAGCCCACACCTTCAGGCCCTGGATTTAGTCCAGCGCAAGGCAGCCCTCCTGCATCTCCTGCCCCGCGGGACTTTGCCGAGACAGACAGACAAATTACCTTTTTAACATTTTCCTCCTCCTCTTGGCGTTTCTCATAGTGTGAGAAGTCATCAAAGATGGAGGTGGTGTGCTTGTAGGTGGCAATGATTTTCAACACCTGCTTAGCCTTTTCCAGAGGCACCTCCTGAGTGTCCCTGGAGTTGGTCACTGGTTTATTCTCGTTGTTCTCTAGGCGGATGTGTCGCAGCTGGCTGTTGGGAACGTCCTTCACAAAAATCCACCTGACATCAAAGCGTCCCTTCCACTTGTCCTGGGACCACACCCCCGCACACGTGTTGTAGTCCACAGCAGATTTCATTTCTGCTACTCCGCAGAAGTGACCGCTACCGTTGACACTGAACAGTAAGTAAACGGGACCCTTCCCGTTCATGGAGCGATAGGCGGCATCCAGTCTCTTGTTGCCGTGCTCTGTACTGCACCAGATGTTATATTTAATGGAACGGTGGATATCGTCCTCAGAGTAACTCTTAATGATGAAAACCCGGCTGTGTTTTGGGTTCCAGTCAAAATCCTTGGGGTTGTAGTTGTTGATGGATCTCAACTTCTCCAAAACCGGGTGCGGTTCCGAAGGAGCAGAACCAGAACTGGCCTGAGACTGTCCCACTCCGTTACCGTCCACTCCG